CGTTTATACGACACTACAAGATAGACCGCTTTGCATCGGCGGACGCCTCCTTTGGTAGGAGGGTCCTCCAGCAAGTTGTCTCAGAGATCAATCTACCGGCCTTATCTGTTTCCCACCCCTTGGGACAGTGAGGCTTTGGTACGTCCCATCGGTGGATTATCCATCTCCTGTACTGGAGAAGGGGCGTTGGTCTTACCTGAACGCCTTTTCTCAGTACGGAGATGGATAATCCACACCCACCCCAAGGCCAGCAGGCCGCTAGTAGGGAGCTGAGAGCCAATACCTCGTCAATCATCAGCCAATTCGCCCTCGTTAAGAATGGACTCCACAGGAAGTGGGGGCGTGTCAAGTTTTGGCTACTTGGTCTCAAGAGCAGGCAGACAGAGAAAACCCATCGGTGGATTATCCATCTCCGTACTGAGAAAAGGCGTTCAGGTAAGACCAACGCCCCTTCCATAGAACATAGTTTATTGCACTCTAAATTGTTGTTAAACTAAGCTAATCTTGGTAAAGAACATGTTTGTTTGCTCATTTATCTATCTTTTGAAAAGTCCCTATTATTGCAGGCCAGTTTACTGTTTTCTCTTGCCTAGCATTAGATGATTTGTAACTTCCCAGGGAACTATTTAGAATTTGGAAAGCTGGCTTACAGACCTTTAGACTATAGAAGGTTGCTTAGAGTGAAGATAGCAATAGCATTTAGGCTTAATATACTGCCCCATAGTGTTTTATGGCAGTCTCTAGGCAGTTTACAGTATGGAAGCATTGTTTGCATATTGGCCCCAGCAATCTGGGTCCTCTTTTTACTGACCTCTGAAAGATGGAAGGGTGAGTCAACCTTGAACCCCATCAGGATCAAACTCCAGGCTGGGCAGAGTTTGCTTGCAATACTTCACTTTAACCGCTGCGCCACACTACATTTTGGTCGTGTGAAAGAATCCACTGAAGAACTGCCTATCCTCTTCTGCATCCTTTCCTCTTTTGGCCTTGGTCTCCATTGGTACTCACCTCATTAGATGCTTTGAAGTCAAGGCCCTGCTCCAGATAGCATCAGTAACAACAGTTTCCATGTGTTAGTGCTTCCTATCATTTCTGTTCAGATTGACTGTTGCTAGATCCCCATATAATAATAATGCATTGCAACTCTTATCTGAGTGCTGGCAACTCTTAAAGCAACCGTAACAGTGCAGTCACGCATCCTCCTTGATTCCTTGAATGTACACCAAGTTTAGAAGCAGGTGCAGAATAATTCTTCTGGTTTTTCTGGAATTATTGGCTAGGACAAAGTGCAACAATAAAGGGCCCAAAGCATTCTTTTCTCAAGATTGGAAACATATTTTTCCCACACCCACACTCACACCCACAAAAAAGTATAAAGGGTTGTAATGGATGATGCATTACCTTATCACAATTTGCTGGTGTGCTGTGCTGCTTTTATCAGTGCTGATAATCTTCCACTTCTGTTCAGGTCACTGTAAGATTTAGCAGAGACCCTGCCTGTATGACTTAGAGTTGCCCACTGAACAAAATGGCAAGTTTTGATAGCGTTTTAGAAAGCAAAACTTTGGAAACTTTTGGAGTTTGGTGGCTTGTAAATTCAGATAAATAAATAAATATCTCCAGTAGTTCTGTTTATATGGTAAAAAACAGTCTTGTAATGCTTCAAATTCATTCTTTGTATTAATTTATAAATCAGTTCCATCCATTCCCAGCCATGCAAGAGATGATCTATAGTTAGAGTGTAGCTTAGTGGTGGAACATGTGCTTTATATGCTAAAGATCCCAAGTTCAACTTCAGTTGAACAGTAGAAGTCTAAATGGGCAGTGATATCATACAATGGTATCCTCTATTTCTATGGTTTTTCTCTAATCCGATGTCCTCCTAATTAGTTTACACAATCCCTGTTGGGCATGCTAGCTGAGAATAATGGGAGATGTATCCCAACTCTGTGGGAGACCTGAAGTCAGTTATTCCAGGGATATCTGTAGTCTGCAAATTTTCCTTCTTTGGTTACTACTGTTCAAGCACGCCAAGCTTTGAAAATAGTTGGAAAAAGTATATGCTGATTTTTTTTTAGGACTAGAGTTTGGCTGGTTGGCAGCAAAAACTCTGGAGCATTTTAGCTTCTTTAGCACTAGAGGGAGCAGATTATCTGTTTGATAATCTTGAGTTTACAGAAGCTGCCAGCTTCACATATGTAATAAGCTACTCTCCATTTAAACCAAAGCTCAAATTTCTGGTATTCTTGCCTAAATGTCAATGATCCTATACATGTTTTAGTCACCATCAGCATAATTATGAATCAGCATCTCAGGGGGCTGATGGAGAAATTCAGAAAATCCCAACATTGATTTCTAAATGAAGAAGGACAAAAGTATTAACCTATAGTTTGGTTTTTGCTCTTCTCTCTATCAGTTACCTATCAACATTTTTAAAGTATTTGATAATTAGCCCAACATGTTGATAACAATTTTTACGGACATATATCAATACCTCAGGAACACTCAATTACCTTTAAAAAAATTTGGATTAAGAATCATTCTTCTCTCTCATCTGTATCTGATTTTCAGACTTTTTTTTTCAGGGAGTGAGAAACTGGCAGGCCAGATCCTCAGTTCCTATTTTTTAGAGTGAGCTACTAGCAACTGATTTTGCCTCAGCTGTTGATCCCTTCATATGCCTCTTCACCTCTTGGCTGGCAAGGCATGCCATGTAGTTCTTTTCAAATGGATAGAACCCTTCTATTAATCTTTTTGATATCTTGATTTTGGGGATTACACAATGATTGGGTGCTGCTTGTTGCCCTGTTGTGAGTCTTCTATCACAGAGAGCAAAATAAATGGTTAATTATAAATGAGGATGCCTTTATCAGCAGGGCTGCTCAACAGACTAACTTTTGTTGTGGAGCATCAATAAATTCTGCAGAAATGATGGGGAAATACAGGTGGTCCTCGATTTACAACAGTTCATTTGGTGACCATTTGAAGTTACAACGGCACTGAAAAAAGTGGCTTATGACCATTTTACACATTTACAATCGCTGTAGCATTCCCGTGGTCACATGATCAAAATTCAGATGCTTTGTAACTGGCTCATATTTATGACGGTCATGGCATCCCAGGTTCATGGGATCCCCTTTTTTATGACCTTCTGACAAGCAAAGTCAATGGGGAAGCCAGATTCACATAACAACCGTGTTACTAACTTAACAACTGCAGTGATTAACAACTGTGGCAAGAAAGATCATAAAAGGGGGCAAAACTCACTTAACAATTGTCTTGCTTAGCAACAAAAATGTTGGGTTCGATTATGGCCATAGGTTGAGGACTACCCGTAGTTAAAAAGAAACGTTAAAAGTTAGTGGCAAACATCAACACGTATTGAATTTTTAACTGCAACATGCGCCGCTCTGGATCAAGCGGTACAGTTTGGATTCACAGTGACCTCCGCTAAAGTTAGTCAACACTAATGAACCTGAATTATCTGGCATTCTTAGCAGCTGGGAGACAGGATCATAAGAGTTAATTGTCTTTGGACAAACTGTGAGCTAGAGGCAATTTTCAGCATTATCAAGAGATCTGGAATGTGAAGAGTAGAGTTTCAACCCTGGCACCATTCCAGCTGGCAGAGACACAGGAAGGTCTTGCCAAGCAAAGGAGACTTTTAAAAGGATGCACTTTTTTCATTGCTGTGCAATGGAAGTTACAGCACTGGAGCACAACTAAAGGCATCCATCCCAGTTTTCTTTGTTCTGGTTGATGCAGTCACCCGTTCAAACAACTTTATTATGCTCAGCAAGCATACAAAAGTTAATTGTTTTTAAAGTTACTATAGCTATGTGTTAAATGGCACCTGACATTCTTCCTGTACCTGTCAACCATTTTTTCCAAATATTTGTGATCAAATTAAGGGTTTAGTCAGCTTTGATATTTCAGGCTGGAAGGGAGAATAGCTTCAGGCAGAAATTGGTAAAAATGATGTCTCTGTCAAAAGACGTGTACCTCTGTTCCTCCTTGTCATTTGGTTGAAATACCAGAAGATAAACCCCAACATAACTATAGATTTGTCTGTCCAGACTTCACCATTTCTCGGGAGTTGTATTTCTAGTAATCCCAGTTCTCTGCCTGTTTTGAGAGTTGAACAGAAAACTTGGTACCTTACTGTATTGTATAGTAGCAGAATATGTAATGCGGGAACTAGAGTCATTCTGTAGCCTTTGTTTTTGAGTATTATGGCTTCAGGAACATACTTGCATTTGAGTATGAATGGGAAATGTATGAACAGTTAGCTCTTGTGCGTAAGTATGTTGACCTAGATGACTCTGTGCCCCACCCACTGGCATCTTCTGAAATGAAGTCCTTTCCATTTTACACATTTTCTTTGTGTGGCTTGTTTTAAAAGCTATCCAGACTGCTGTTTAGCAAAGCTTTCAATGATTAAAAAAACAACAACAGAAAAGTGAAAATAGAATATATAAAACAAGTTAAATGGCAGCATGTTAAAAATATGTGCTTGCCCACTGTCATTACTTTATCTAGATGGTATCAGTGATGACAATCGGTTTGGATAATTGGTTGTATTGTACCCTGCCCAGAGTCACCTTGTATGAGATGGGCAACCATATAAATTTGATGAATAAAAATAAAATTGTTTAAATCCCCAGCAGTGCTGGCTGGGGAATTCTGGGAGCTGAAGTCCACACTCTTAAAGTTGCCCAGGCTGAGAAACGCTGGTTTTGTGGATTTCATACACTCATAGTAGATATGCACCCTCCTGCTGACTGAAACTATTGAATATTATTCAGAGACTTAGCCCCCTAGAGATGGCTTTAATGAAGTCCACCGGTCTTAAAGCTGCCAAAGTTGGACACCCCTAGTTTAAACCTTAGTACAAGCACACCAGCAGAATGATTGCATGCCTTAGGTCTTCCAGACAGACTTTTGAATGAAACTTTGATGGTCCTTGATCATCTCCTCTCCTTCCTCTTTTATGCCAGTAGTCATTCCAAAGATCCCATTCCCTGCCCCTGATGTGATTTCTGAAAAAAGCACCATACACAACAGCACAAAGAGTATCCTGGAACATCCGCCTGGACAAAGAGGACGCAAACCTGGTCGTAAAAGAGGCCGGACACCCAAGGTGCTGACCAGCCATCCCAACCCCAACCTTTCCAAGGCAGTGGAGCCTTTAAAATTCCCCAAAAAGAGGGGGCCAAAGCCTGGTGGAAAGGTAGGTGGTCAATGTGTGGGGCTGAACTATCAAGCATAGTCCTCCTTCCTTGATATGGTCACTGCAGCAAGATTATTGTATGTCCAAAGATGGAAGAAGAATGTTTGCTTGCTGATTATCCCAACTTTATTTTGTATAAATAAATCAAGCTGGCAAACATATCTAATACTCCTTCCTCCTTCTAATTTTCCTACAACAATCCTGTGAGGCGGGTTGGACTGAGAGAGTGATTGGTTCAAAGTCACCCAGCTGACTTTCATTCCTACTGAAGGACTAGAACTCACAGTCTCCTGGTGATTGGTCCAAAGTGACCCAGCCGGCTTTCATGCCTAAGGCAAGACTAGAACTCATGGTCTCCTGGTTTCTAGGCCAGCATCTTAACCACTACTAGGCCAAACTGGCAATTAATTAATTAATTAAAACCCTTTGACTAGATACAATATACTTTTCTTATATTCCTGCTTACTACCTTAAAATCATAAGGACGACTCTCCAGGACTGAAACTTTTGAAAGAGCTTTAATTCTAAATCTGAATAGGCTGTGGACTGGTCAGGATTCTTTGTAGGCTACTTTCAAGCTCCATAGAGCAGGGGTCTCCAATCCCCGGGCCACGGCGCACTATCGGGCTATGGGCTTTTTGCAATTGGACCGTGGGCCTGCGTACAAGTGCGCATGTGCACAAGTGCGCTGGCCCACTGCTTGCGCAAGTTGAACTACACGCCTGCTCACACGGACCAGTTCCCTTCTCCCCCCCACCCCCCAGCCAGGCCACCCGCAAAGGTTGGGGACCACTGCTGTAGTGGAAAAGCAGAAAGCAAAGACAGCCAACTGCTTAAAATCTTTGTCACTGCTATAAATCGCAAATTTTATGCCACTCCCCTTGGTGGTTGCTGTAGACTCAAGATATTTTTATCGCTCATTAGGCTTCATACACTTTTGTCAGAGACACCATTTCCTCTTTATGTTCCTGACAGCCTGTCCTTGATGCAGTAATATCAGTTCTTAACAACTTCTTCCTTGTACCCAGTAGACTTTGTTCTTCCACTGAAAGCCATTAAACTTTTTTGATCTTCAGAGAAAGCCGCGAACGTTACTAAATCCAGCACCCACTTCCCCTACAACTAGCACTCCTGAGCCTGACACAAGTACGGTACCACAAGATGCAGCTACTATTCCCAGTTCTGCTATGCAGGCCCCTACAGGTAAGGACCTGCTTCCTATTACTTCTGAAAGTTCTTCTGAGAGAAAAAAAACTGGCTCTTCCTGCAGGCATTCTGCTGGGATGATTAGTGAACTCATGGCAATCTTAATGTATTTTGAGTTTTGTCTTCCCCTGGTGTGGCTGTTCTATTATCTTGATTTTATAGTTTATTATAGTACCTTGACATTTTCAAATTCATACTCTTGGAAAGCCACCTGGAGTCATTTAGCACCTGGATGGAATTAGGAATCACATAAATGAACAAATCTATAAATGAATGACAAACCTAATGAGGGAGATTTTTAGATAGCAACTCCATATGATAGAAGAAAAAATAGGGCAAAAGAATGATTGCCCAAGGTGATTCTTTTGTTCATTAACTGGCATCAGGCTAAAAATATTGGAGTGCTTTGTGCTTGACCTGTTTAAGTGTACAATTTCTCCAGGAATTATGAGGCAGTGTTTCAAGATGAATTCATAAGCATATGAAGAACAGTGTATCTTCGTTGCAATCTCACAGACTAAACATTGTTTTAAAAAGGCCATTTTATGTTTACAAATGTTCATGCATTAGGAAATAACCAATAGAGGATAAGTGTTATTACAGTCCTCTGTTTTTTCAAATTAAGTATTGAAGACTTCTTATGTGTTGGCTTGCCCTTTCTCCCCTCTGTCCCCCCCCCCAACTAGTTTGCATCTACTTGAATAAAAACTGTAGCCCTGGGCCTCATCTGGACAAAAAGAAAATCCAGCAATTGCCTGACCATTTTGGTCCAGCTCGAGCGTCCGTAGTCCTGCAGCAAGCAGTCCAAGCTTGCATTGATTGTGCTTACCACCAGAAAACTGTCTTCTCATTTCTTAAACAAGGCCATGGAGGAGAGATTATTTCAGGTAACACTCATATTGATCTGTCCTACTTTTTGGGAAAATATCTCCCAGGAAACATGTCTGCTAGCCACAATCTAGCCATGAGGTCCTAATAGTGGCAATGCAGTTGACCACCACTGTTATAGTCATTAAATCTGGAAAGCATTTTATTAGATTGAATGACAAGTGGACATCGGGGGGGGGGAGGTTGAGCTTTGCTGGTCATCTCTGTAACTTTTTTATATATTTGGCTTTGTTGGTTTCCTCTGTCAGCTGTGTTTGATCATGAGCAGCACACTCTAAACTTACCAGCAGTGAATAGCATTACTTACGTCCTCCGTTTCCTTGAGAAACTGTGCCACAACCTGCGAAGTGACAACCTCTTTGGGAACCAGCCCTTCACTCAGCACCATATGCATCATTCCAGAGAATATGACCATGACAAATACCTGCCAGGTAAGAATTGGCTTGGAGAGTTTTCATGCTAATCTCTGCAGGTGGAATAAAGTTTCGCCAAACAGATTCATTAATCATTTTGAACCTATTCCTACCCCTGCCTATTCTTGTGTGCCTTTTTAAAACTTGGAGCAAAGTTTATACTGGTAGTTCTCAACGTCTGACCCATTTCAGTCGTAATTCGTAACAGTCATAAAAACAGATCACCCACATGACAGACCTGATTTTATGACCTTTTTTTCATCAGTCGTTAAGCAAATGCCATGTCTCAAAGTAACTGCTGGAGTCTTAAAGCAAACATTGTAGTCATAAAGCGAACCCACTGTTCACTTTGGGGCATTTTTTTCCTGAAAACCAGTAGTAAATACTAGTTTTCAACAAAAATGTTATAAAACGTGGTGATTTGGCCATGGACTGCTGCAATGTAACCTGGCTGCTGAGCACCTGACATGCGATCACATAATTATAAGGGGGAGAAGTGCCTGTCCAAGCTTCAGAACCAGGTCATAAATACCTTTGGAGTAGTCCATCATAACTTTGAATGTTCACTAAGTGACCAGTTGTAAGTCCAGAACTATCTGTATGCATTTTATTTTACCTGATATAAAGCTGAACATGTTGATAGGGTCTTTCCTTCTAATAATATTATTTAAGTGCCTCAGAGTCTATGTTTTAAATACGTTATCTGAGACAAAAAATACAATGACAGACTTACTATTGTTCATGATTTGTTGTTGGGGGTAACAATGATATATGATTTGAAAGCTAAAAAGCAAAGTGTAACAGTAAAATCTTAATTGAATAGACCAGTTGGGGGAAGAGGGTACCGATTACTCCAAATGTCTGTTGAAATGGACATTTATATCATTCATTGCAATTATTTCATTTGTGTCATTTGCAACATTAGCATAAATGTCGGTGCCTTGCACAGACTACTTCAGATGTCATAAATTTGTCAGTTATTTCAGGAGAATCTCTGGATGGAAATTGGTTGCATCCAAAGTCCATTAAGTTGGGATTCCATTAAGTTGAAGTTTCACTTTATCTTATTTTTGAACAGCTTTCAGAAAAATAATGCTTTCCCTTGAATTCCCTTTGAAATGCCAAAGGTTTGGTATGTGGGTTTTTGAAAGAACCCTGAATTCATCCAGTACCTTTGATAGACCCTGTGGAAGCTGCTTTAAAACTGACCCTTTTTATTTCTTTTTTACGGATGCATTTTTTTTCTTTTCTCTTTATGATGGGATGGCAGAAGGAAAAGTAAGATGGATGATGTGTAATGATATTATATATAACTAGCAAAGGCAATGAAGCAAGGAATAATAACTATATACAGGTCTTTTGTCTTGGTCCTCTGACAGCTTTGTGCAGCTTAGCTGTTTTTTCATTCTAACAATGATGTCCACAGAGCCTTCAGCAGTATTTTAATTGGGCTAATTTGTCTGGCGTACTCCAGCTATGCATTTCTATTTAATACAGGCAGTCCTCGACTTACTACAGTTCATTTAGTGATCATTCAAAGTTACAACGGCACTGAAAAAAGTGACAACCCCATGGTCATGTGATCAAAATTCAGACGCTTGGCAACTGACTTATATTTATGACAGTTGCAGTGTCCTGGGGGTCATGTGATCACCATTTGTGACCTTTTGATCAGCAAAGTCAATGGGGAAGCCAGATTCATTTAACAATCATGTTACTACTGTGTTTCCCCAAAAATAAGACCGGGTCTTTTTTTTTCCCCAAAAAAAGAGGCAGATTTTTGGGGGATGCCTTACTCACCTCTGGCACCAACAGCCCCGCCCAGCAAGCCTACTCCTTCTGGGACCGAAGGATCAGCTTCATCCTGCAGCTGCATTCCATCCTGTATTTTGCAGGTAGGCCTTTCTGAAAGGCCACTGCAGCTGAGAACGTAGGTCCTTGGCTGCAGAGGCCTTCAGGAAAGGCCTGTGACTGAGAAATGCAGGGCTGGCTGAAGAAGAGGCCTCAGAAGAAGTGGGCCGGCAAGGAGAGACCTGGCTGCAAAGTGGTGGGTGTGAGGCACATAGGGTAGATCCACATCTTGATTTTTAAGTGTGTGCCTCACCCCAAAACTAGGGCTTATTTTTGGGATAGGGCATATATTAGGTCTACCCCCCAAAATCAGGCTAGGGCTTATTTTCAGGGTAAGCCTTACTTTCAGGAAAACATGGTAACTTAACAACTGCAGCGATTCTTTAATCTTAACAGCTGTGTCAAGAAAAGTCATCAGATGGGGCAACTGTCTAGCAATAGAAATGTTGGGCTCAATTGTGATTGTAATTATAGGACTACCTGTAGTCTGTATTGGGCTAGGAAGTGAATAATTTAGATTATTTCCCAGGTTTGTAGTAGTTTTTGAACTACACAAAACCATTCAGAGAGAGAATTGGCTTTCACTGTAAAAACAAACTTATAGAGATCATTTTACTACCCTATTTGAGTACCCCTAATATCTTCAAATTCCTAGTGTTTTAGTAGCTATTGGTGGATCCAGACATTATCATATTTAGAGTGAACCCACTGACATCAGTGAAAGTTTAATTAGCCAAAGCTAAGCATTGCCCTTTATACTTTGACTTTTAACTTTGAATCTAAGCATCACTGTTCCGTTATTTAATTAAGCATGATAGAGTGAAAAAGCTTTAAGAAATCTGAATTTAAGATAGATACTGTAAATATAGGCATAGAATAATGTATGTAATAAAACTATTCTTGTCAGCTCAAAAACTACGTAGAATTATATTCAGAGCTTATTCCCCTCTTACTAATTCCGTTTTAAAAAAAACTCTTCTGATTTCACAAAATGAAATAGAAGTACTGTAGTCAGTTCAGGTGAAGTCCAGCACAAAGATCAGCAATAAATCACGGTTGTTCAAAGTGTATATATTTCTCCAACTTGTTACAGCTCTATAGAAGATCTGAATGCATATGGATATAGGAAAATATAGTCCAGGTTGATAGTCAATTACACTTTATACACTGTCATATTAGACTAGAGAACAGCATCCAAAGATTACAACATTTCCATATCAGCCCTCAAGTCATATTTTTATTTATACTAAAATAACTTGTAATTCACAGTTAAAGAAGTCCTGGGCTTCTTGCGGGTAAACATTTTGGATTCCTTAGAATTTTGAAGTGGTTTAAGAAACCTATCCCTTAAAAATTCCAACACCTCTCCAAATTAAATTAGACAACTTCCTCACACACCTTAAAAGCCTATACCCCAAAATACAGTTCACCATGGAAACAGAAGCTAATAACCAACTTCTCTTCCTCGATGTCTTAGTCTATAAAAAATCCAATGGCTCCCTAGGACACACCATCTACCAGAAGAAAACACACACAAACCGCTATCTGCACGCTCTCTCATACCACACCCAGCACAGATCAACTCCGTAGCCAAGACACTCATCTCCAGAACAAAATGCTTAGCTGATGAACAACACCTAAAAACCGAACTACACACTCTCACTAATGTACTAACATCCAATGGATTCCAAAGAAATAAGATTACCAAATAATCCAAAAAGAAACCCCCACTAAAATCCAAGACAGAGAACAAGAAAACGGCAAAGCCCTCGTCCCATACATAAAAGGCACCACAGACAGAATCAGCAAGATCCTCAACAAACACAACATCAAGACAGCATTCTGCACAAACAGAAAAATATACACCATCCTAAGAAACCCCAAAGACAAAATTGAGTTAGAAAATCAAGGAGTATATGAAATCCCATGCACCACTTTTCCCACCACATACATCGGACAAACCAACAGAAGAATAAGTGCACGCATTGAAGAACATAAGAACTCAGTCAAAAAAGAGGAATCAACTTCTTCCCTGGTCCAACACCTTAAAGCCACAGGACATGAAATTGACTTTAAAAAGACCAGAACTATTGCCAAAACTGAACACTTTAATAACAGAATAATCAGAGAAGCCATCGAGATAGAAAAACGCCCACACAGCATGAATAAACGAGATGATACCTCCCGCCTACCAGCCATTTGGAAATCCGCCCTTATTGACAAACGAGTCAATAACACAAAGAATGACACCAGACCCACACTCACGAAAATCACACAGGATGTCACCACCACACATCCACGCAAAAAGCAAAACCAAACCCACACCAATGATGAGGCATGACCACAAACCAGAAGCCAGACCACAGCTGCATCATTAGCCACTTTAAACCCCTCCAATCCATACATGAAGCAAACTGACACCCACCATGAAGATGAGGCACAACCATGAACGTGAAGCCAAACAACAGCAATGCAGCTCACCATTTTAAATCCCCCTGCAACTCAGACTAACCCGAGCACAACAAAGCCCCCACCCAAACAGAACACTCCCCCATCCAATCAGAGCACAGCCAACTTCCCATCCAATCAGAGCACAGCCAAGCCCCTAACCAATCGGAACACACCTCCACCCAATCAGAACACAGCCAAGCTCCCATCCAATCAGTTCATACCCCCACTAGCAGTTAAAAGGAAGAAACAGCTACGATCACACATTGCTCCTACAAGCGAGAAGCAGAAAACACCAGCCTGAAGATGACAAGTGGGACTTCGTTGAAACGTCGCCAAGACACTTCCAATTTGATGCGGGAGAAAACCCGAATAACCAAAGACCTACATATATGTGTGTGTGTGTGCGCGCGCGTGTGCGCAGGGAGTTTTTCAGAGAGATGTCTGATTGATTACACTGTGACACTTTTAACTGCTATACTGCAGTTTTACTTTTTACAATCTCTTTTGCCTTGCAGCCCCCCCAACTAGGGGCGTTAAGCAGGCTCAAGTTGCAACTGCGAAACATTACAAATCCAAATTTCTTTTTCTGACAAAGAGTTAAAGAATTAAATTGGGAGATTAAGATGGCCATTTCAAGCTCATTCTGCTCTCTTCAGTTAGCCACACCCTTTATGGGATTTGAACCTGAGCAGTTTACATACTAGGCAGTGTCAAGGGAGTATATGCAGGGAGTTTTTCAGACAGACATTTGATTGATTACACCTTGACATTTTTAACTGCTATACTGCAGTTTTACTTTTTACAATCTCTTTTGCCTTGCAGATATATATATATGTCTCTCTTTATCTATCTATATATCTATCTGAAATAAATAAGCAACAGATGACAACATGGCCTTCAGACATAACCTGCTAACCCTGTCCACATTACAGATAAGCATATTATCAAGAAACACATCTACTGAGTTAATTTACTTTGCAATGTTTATTGATCACCAGAATCATAGTGAGTTTGAACTGTGAATTCCCAGTCGGGACTTGACATAATACTTGAGGATTATGTTACTAGAATGACTTGGAGATATCACATTTGACCAGTTAAGTTATCCAATCATCAGATACCCAGGCATTATCTGTAGGTTGTATAATATTATTGAGTTGTTTCTTTTTATCATATTGTTATTGATCCATCTTACATAGACTGAAATGTACATGTTTCTGAATCATTTCTGATTAGAACAGCCAATGATTCCAGTGAAAATAAAATAACATTAGAACAAGTATGACTGTTTTTATTACAAAATATGAAAAAGATGGGGATTGTGTTTCTTGTACATCTGAAATTGACAGAAGATGCTAAATGAACTTACAGAACCACTGGTAAATTTTAAATCTAATTTATCAATTTCCTGGGGTAATGGTCCCATATGTTTTAAAATCAGCAACTGCCAGTCTTAAGAAATTTGGGTTAGAAAAGTACGCATTGATAATCAACAAGGAAATGTTGAATATCCTGTAGCTGTTTTTTGTGTTTTAATATTGAACTTTACATGATTTTCACAAATAGTTGTCTTGGCATTTAACTTCATATTCTGAAGCTTACCCATTTCAGCCAAACAAAGAGCCCTGAAATTTCCCTGTGATGAGCAAATACTTTTTAAGAATCATTTGAAAAGCACCACTGCAAACAATCAAGGAATAATGATGTGCAGAAAGCTTAAAATCAGCAATTGCACAAAACAACTAAGGAGATTAAATTAACTATAAAGAGGCATTTTGTCATTGCTCAACTCTGTTAAGAGCATGCAATAGATTCCCCATTTCATGTATAAGAATTAAGATGTACTGGAAATGATACACCATTTTTTCATTTAGGAGAACAAAAAGATGTTTAAAAAAACATCTGATGAAGCCGTTATCGGCCCTGGAAATGCCACTGTCTCTTTCATAAAATTCTTCAGTTATTGCATAGAACAGAAGACATGATGAGATAATTGGTAACACCCAGAGATTTCAAAATCATCCTTCAGTACAGCAATACAGCTGCTTCTGCTGGTGGACTTATAGATCATGGGGTAGACTATATAAGAGAAGAAAAAGAATTATGGCAGTCAATGACCAGTCCATAGAGTATGGCAATTCTGCTGCTATGAGGCAGAACATTTGTTTCCCAGAGAAGGTGCTGATCTTAAGCAGGGCTTGTTCTCTCTTCCTAGACAGGAGTGTTTCGTTACATGGCTCTCTGCAGGGACCAGGCCGGGGTACAAAGAGGTATTCCCAAGATTTCCCTCCATATAGTGCTCCTCTGTCCCCCAAGTTACCAAAGAATGACCATCACCCTTTGGAAGGTGAGCACAGCCTCTTTTCCCAGCCTTTCTGATATTATTCCTTTAACAAGCAGCATAGGTTGAAACTCATGTCTGTGTTCTGCTTCTGGCTCAGCTGTGCACTGTAGACATCGCCATCTTGACCATGCCTTCTGCTCCTCTGTGTCAAGCAGAAGTACTAGCAGTGGTCCACAGCATTTCCTTCACTACTTCTAACTTCTTTGGCGGGCTTCTTAATCTACATGCTCCCCATTATCTGTGCATAACTATGAGAACAAAAGCCATCTATAAATTTAAATTACTGGAATTGAGGGTTTTTTCTACACTTTCGGGCAATAGCACTTAGTCTTATATACTGCTTCACAATGCTTTACAACCCTCTCTAAGCAGTTTACAGAGTCAACAATCTGGGTCCTCATTTTACCGGGCTCAGAAAGGCTGAGTCAAGCCAGTCAGAATCGAACTGCTGGCAGTTGGCAGAATTAGCCTGCAATACTACCTCCTAACCACTGCACCACCATGGCTCTTCTAGCAATCACAATATCCTGAAATAAAATATCAGCCTCTCCCATTCCCATACAAGACATTATTCGGTTGTGTTCAGGCGGACAAAATATGCTTTGATTCCTGTATGTGAGCAGTTCTACCATTTATGTGAAGATGGAATGAATGGTCTTCTCTAGCACAATCTTATTTCTCAGTGCAAGTACAAGAAGGACCTGCTTGCAAGAGGCGTCATAGGCTGAAGATGAATGTTCTGTTCCCATCTGATGTTTATGCCTACAGGTTTGAAAGGCAAAATTAGGCCTATTGCCCATGACTTTTTGTCACTATTTCTTATCCATGATAACTGCATGAAACGTCTGTTTCTTATAACCTTTGGATACCAGTTGTTGAGGACAATAACAATGTCTTCATATTCTAGTGAGCTTCCCAGATAGCATCTAAGGACATACAGTACTTGGGAATAGGATTCATGGCTAGATGGAACAGGATTCTGAACTAGCTGAACTCTTATTGTAATTAATGTTGTTTTTTTCTTTATTAAGACAAGTAAGTGAGCCATCAACATTTTTAACATTTTACCTCTTTGAAAGTCCCTCAGCTTCTGTCACACAAGTAATCTTTGCCACTCATGGCCCATAGTCTCTTAATAAAAAGGTTTCCTCTCATTTATGGACGTATGTTGCCATATGACTATGGGCATATAAGCATTCAGAACTATTTCAGAAGGGAAAATAGTATTTTCTTATCCTTGCAGTAATTTGCCTTGCTTTCAGTGGGAAAGTGCAAGAAAAGGAGGACCACAGTTGGAATATTGCATCCAGTTTTGGTCACCAAAAAGATAATTCTCCAGTGATTCAGACAGCAAGATGAACAATGTTGTTGAGGAAAGAATGCAGAGAAGAGTAATAAAGATCATTAGGGGACTGGAGGCTAAAACATATGAAGAAAGTTGCAGGAATTGGGTATGTCTAGTCTAATGAAAAGGAGGAATAGGGCTGACCTGATAGCAGTCTTCCAATATTTGAGGGGCTGCCACAAAGAAGAGGGGGGTTAACCTATTTTCCAAAGTACCAGAAAGCAGGACAAGAAGCAAGGGATGGAAACTAATCAAGGAGAGAAGCAACCTAGAACTAAGGAGAAATTTCCTGACAGTGAGAACAATTAGTCAATGGAATGGCTTGGCTGTAGAAGTTGTGGGTACTCCAACACTGGGGGTTTTTAAGAAGAGATTGGACAGCCATTTATCTGAAATGGTATAGGATCTCCTCCTTGATTAGAAGACCTCCGAAGTCCCTTCTAACTCTTGCATTCTGTACAACAAAGGGAAAGTTTGTATGGACTGTGGCTTCTTTACTTTGTTTAAAGGCTTATGGTGAGTAGTTCAAGTAAGATGAGATTTTTTTAAAAAAAAAAATGACTTGAACTTATCTCATTAGCTGAACTGTGAACAAATCCTGGTTCCATTGGGTGACCAATGTGTGACACCCCTTTGGGAATATTTTAAAGATAATGCCATATCTCAGCAGATCCAAGTCTCATACAGAAGGTGTGAGGGTTTGATAGCATACATGATCGAGAAGCATTACTGGCACAAGCGTTTCTGTACATCCTTCATGTAGCATTGAACGAACAGCAGCACATAAGAAATTCAGAGTTTTTGGAAAGTTTCTTCCTTAACCTCAATTTACTTTTCTGCCAGAATGAAATGAGGAATGGGTGCCAGACAACACTCCATGTTTATTCTGTCCAAGAACTAGCACCTAAGTACAAAAAAGCAACAGAATTTAGATGAAGGAATGTCTAGATAGGTTCCTATTTCATAGTAAAAGAAAAAGCAGGACCAAGGTTACAGGATTCTTGGTGCTTTATTTTAATGCAGTCCTACCATAACATGCCTAGGGAATGCTAAAATATGGTCTCTTTTAGTAAGAAAAGACTTAGCCTTTCCACTGCATTGTCTGGTCAGAAGTGCTCCAGAATGAACATATGTACTGTTTACCATGCAGAAGTACTTCTAGGATAGGGGTCCCCAACCCCTGGGCCATGGAGCAGTACCGGGCCATGGCATGCCAGCAACCGGTCCACACAAACAAAGCCCCATCCACGGGATGCAGGCAGCACACAAAACCATGCACCCTCCCGTCCGCAGAAAAACCTCTCCACAGAACCGGTCCCTGGTGCCCAAAAGGTTGGGGACCTCTGTTCTAGGACATGAAGAGAATGAATGAACTTAGTTATGTAGAGAAAAATTATCTCGAAGAACCTGATACAAAATGGTGAAAATAATTCCTCCTCCCCAACTTTCTAGCTGAGTAAATTTGTTCCACGTTGTTGACTTACAACTCAAGATGTTTGTTTACACTGCAACAGTGTCACTGTTGCTTGCACCTCTCTCACCAGTTGCTTATGTCTTTCAGGTGAAACCTTTGTCTTGAATGACAGTCTCCCTGCTCCTCTGGAGCCTCGCTTGGACCCGATCGACTCAGCCTTGAATGCCGTTAGCGTGTCTAGTCCCATCCGGAACTCAAGGGACTTCCGACTTCAGGGATACCGACACCTTCATCAGCCCTCCAGCCTCACTCAGTGCAGCGCCCCTGCTGGGCATAGACTGGGTGCTGGGGGTAAGGGACCTCAAAACTCTTCTTCTGTGAGGCAGTCTAGCTTTACCTTTGTCCTACTAATAGCAAGGCAGGGACTTGATGAATCCTGGGCATGAAGTGGCACTCCTGCTACCCCTCTAAAAGCATTTGGTGCAAATACAGGAAGTCCTCCATTTACAATAATTCATTTAGTAACTGTTCAAACCTACAGTGGCACTGAAAAAAAGTGACTTATGACTGTTTTTCACAATTGTGGTCATAAGTAGAGGACTACTTGTAATTCATTAAACTTGACAGTGGTTGTTCTTTTTAAAGAGTGTCACAGAAACTGCTATTTCAATAGCATGGATCCCTGAGCTTTTGCAGCACCAGTATTTATTTACATTTTTTCATTATGCCCCCAGGCTCTGACAGATACCTGAGTTCTCGAGACACTTCACGATTGGGTACCCGGGATCCCTCGGCCTGGACAGTAGAAGATGTCATGCAGTTTGTAAGAGACGCTGACCCCCAGCTGGGACCCCATGCAGATCTCTTCCGGAAACATGTAAATATGCCTTCGGGATCATCAGACTTTGCCTAGGTAGTATTTTCCTCCTGATGGAAGTGCTGTCACCCAACATATGGTTCCTGCTGATAAGGCAGTTTTTAACACATTATTAATAATTCTGTGGAGGTTTTTTCCATCTGAGAAGATCAATATCTCTCAGTGACACAGGAGGCAAAATTTTGGTGCCTTCCAACAGTAAACAAGATTATTTGGGCAATATAGGATGAATATATCTGACATCAATTGTAGCATAAGAACTGAAGTAAAGAGACGGAGTAATACAGTGCAGAGATGTAAATAGCTGCTTTACTCAATGAGTATTATAAAAAGGCTGAATTCCAGTTTTAAAGACTTTCTCCAAGTAGCTAAGAAAAAAGCCAAACCCTAATCCTCTAATTTCCATGTAAAGCTTATGCAAATGAAGGGCTTTTGTTAAGTGTCACTCATAATGTCAAGGCATGTCAAAGAAATTCTTTTTTCTATGCAACTGATGTTGCAAAATTAGGCACCTCTGTCATGTATTATCTCATAGATCAGCAGTCACCCTAATCCAGCCTCTTTTTACTTCTGACATGGCACAAACATGGCTCTTTCTGCTCTTTGCCTACAGGAGATTGATGGCAAGGCCTTACTCTTGTTGCGTAATGACATGATGATGAAGTACATGGGCTTGAAACTGGGGCCGGCGCTGAAACTCACCTACCACATTGATAAGTTGAAACAGGGCAAGTTCTGAAAAAGACTCCTCTTGGCACAATCACGGCCCTCTCAGCTCTCCATGAGGGCACGTAACACGTGTCTCCCTTCTGCAGCCACCGCGTCACAGAATTACTAGGACATCTTTCTTAACCAGTGAAAGAAAGGTGGCTTCCTGCAGGAGGAAGGTCCTAGGCATCAGGAACCATTGTATGAAGCTTCAGACGGATTCTCACAAAGGGAGAAGTTTCTTCAGCTCTCCGCTGGTGGCATCTGGGACCATACCTGACCGAGGCGATGATGCCTCCTGTGTGTGGAGCTGTGGCAGGGCCACCTTTGCATTAGACTCAGCTGTTTGGTCCTTCCTTTTTTAATCACAGCATCTTCTTTTGCGGCTCTCTTTGAGAAGCCTCTTCATGCAATAGGAAGAAGACGTCAAGAGGTTACTCTTCTGTGCCATACAGAAGAAACAGATTAGAAGAAGCCAGCCGAGGGCTGTTGCTCTCCAGATGATGCACTCCCTTGGGTGCGGGGTGGGGTGTGAGTTTTGGCAGGAGCCCTATCCAGTGAGCTGTACTACCTGCCTGCAGATCACTAGGTGCTGTTAATCTCTTCCTGTATTGAGGACTCAAGCTGGCTTTGTTCCCCACACACTCACATTGCTGGCTGATAAGCAGACAATTCTTAATATTTATTTCGACACAAGCAGAGGCTCTGTGTTTGTGTTATTTACCATTCCAGCACTACAAGTGAGCCAGGAGGATGGGGGGCATGTGGTCTTATACTGAAGTGGCACAGGGCACACAATTAAGCAACCTCCTGCCCTCAAGCTTGAACGTTTTCTACTTGTCCTTGAGATGGCAACCATTTTAACTTTTCCCCTGGGCAATTGCACGTCTCCACTTCTACAGTGGTACCACTTAATATACCTTCCACTTCACCCTGGCAGACCTTCCTTGATAGCTACCTGACAGGCACATGGGATAGCAAAGAGATGCTGAAATAGGTTCCTTTTTCATATTTCTCCACCAATTCCAGTAGGGAAACCGGAATCATTTTACGTGTATGCTGGAAAATAATTAATGTATTTATTTTTATGGCACTTGAGAGGTTGGCCCCATTGTCCTGTAGTTAGAGAGGTTTTGCTGCTGGCAAATGAGAAGAAGAGGAAGAGGAGGTCATAACCTGGTGCCCCAACATTCTGCTTTTCTCTAGGTTCTCCACTGAAATGTGCTTTGTGTCTGGAAAGCAAGCGTGTAATGCTTTTTTCATTCCTCCAGAATAACCGTAGCAGTTTGCCCTTTGGGATGCACACAAGTGAATGCTGAGACTCAGTTGCCCATCGCTGTTCGCCTGCCCTGATTCCTGAACTGGGAGATGGGGTAGGCAAAGGTACAGGCCTTTCGTACCATTTTTTTCTGCCAAATTACACACGCCGCTGCTCCTTCCTCTGGTTGCTTCTTTCTCTCCCAGACAAGGGCCAGAAGACAAGGCAAGAGAGCCTCTAAAACAAAGAATGAAAATTCACAGGCAATAAACCAGTTCCAGAAAGGAGGATCGAACAATGACTGCAATATGCTGGAATGGTGTGACTCGGCCACCGTCTTGGTTGTCCAGTTTAGCCCCTTGGGGCAGGCCACCCGTTTCTGCTATTACTGCCTGGTTGCAGAATATCACTTCTGTAAGCACTGCCTACAGCAGGTAGCAGGAAGAATCCTGCCAATGTTCTCTTCTGCACTTACTCTTGATGATTTTGTTTATAAATAAAATTTTTTAAAAAGGATGAGTGGGTTTTTATTGGCTCAAGTTAATCACAAGACACTAAATGCACATCTTAAGAAGACAGAACTATTGGAATATTTCTTCCAACAGGCATCTTTATTAAGAGAAAATGGTTGCAGGCGTTCTAGACAGGACTTGGAGGCCAAGCCCTACAGTTCAAGTTTTTAAGGGGTTCCCAGCAACCCCACCCCACCATCCTTCCAGTGACAATCCCAGGCATTACATTTCCACCCCCTTTTCCCTCACTGCCGGCGGAAGGGAAACTTCAGAGAGGAGCAGATGAAAGCTGATGGCCCCATTGTTTTTTTTTTATTTATTTAAAAAGTTTTATTGAAAGTTACAAAATAAACCCATTTGCCCTCTCCCCAACCCCCATCCCCCGACTTCCCGGAGCCAAATACAGGGTATTTCAAACATATTAAACATAATCTAATTAAATTAACAAATATATTAATCATAAGCTAAACAAGTTTAACAATTTATATAACAATTAAAATCATACTTAAACCTTAACTCCCTTTAAACCTTAATAACATATCATAAACAAATCAGTTTATAATCAATTGTTATATAATAAAAATAATAATTTAAATATTATTAATAATACTTATTTAATCATAAAATAAGTGGAACTTTTCAGTTCCATATTTAGTCTTAATATAATCTATCCATCTTCTCCATACCATAATACATCTTTCTTGTGTATGATCCTTTAAATAAGCAGAAATTTTAGCCATTTCTGCTAAGTTAGAAACCTTAAATGTCCATTCTTCTAATGTAGGCAACAAATCCTTCTTCCAATATTGACCTATCAATAACCTTGCTGCTGTAATTAAATTCAACATTAAAACAGTATAACATCAAAATCCTCAAAAATCCCTAATAAAAATAGTTGAGGAGTAAACTTTATCTTCCTTTTGAAAATATTTTGAATGTTCCACCAAATCATGATCCAAAAGGCCTTAATATTTTTACAAGTCCACCAAATATGAAAAAAAGTTGCATCAAAACTACCACACCTCCAACATTTGGGTTGTAAATTAGGGTACATACAAGATAACTTTTTAGGAACCAAGTGCCACCTATAAAACATTTTGTAAAATTTTTTTCTTAAATTTTGAGCCTGTGTAAATTTGACATTTCTGATCCATATTATCTCCCATAAATCCAATGGGATTGCTTCCTGAATATTCTGAGCCCATTTTACCATACAATCTTTAACCAATTCCGTTTCCGAATCCAATTCTATTAAACTATTATAAATTCTTTTTATATGTGCCTTATTCTGATCTTTAATCTGTGTTATCAAACTTTCATCTCCTAATGTTATCCCCACTTTCTTATCTAAAGTCCACCTATCCACTATTTGTAAATATTGAAACCATGACTGTAACGTATTTTCTTTTCTTAATACATCCAAGGACTTTAATTGCCAGTCATTGCTAAACCAGATAAGTAATTCTTTATACGGAATTTTCCCAGAATTCATCCCCTTCGATATTCCCTCTATTGCATGTTCAGGAATCCCCCAAATAGGTATTTTATAATTTAATCTATAATAATACTTCTTCCAGACTCGAAGTAGGGCACTTCTTAAAATATGCGATTTAAAAGCCCAATCAACTTTCTTATTAAAAATCAAATATGCATGCCAGCCATATAATAAGTCCCACCCTTCAAGAAAAGAATATTTTTATTTGTTAAATTAAGCCAATCACTTATCCAAGTTAATGCAGCTGCATCATAATATAATTTTAAGTTGGGTCCTTTAAGCCCTCCTCTTTCACGAACATCTTGCAAGATCTTAAACTTCACCCTTGGTTTCTTCCCAGCCCATATAAATTTATTAATACTCTTCTGTATTCATCCAAATTAGCATCCTTTTTTAAAATGGGTATCATTTGAAACAAAAAAAGAAACTTTGGTAGAACATTCATTTTAACAGCTGAAATTCTCCCCAACAACGACAATTGTAATTTTTTCCAATCATTTAAATCCTTTTGTACCTTTGTCCATAATACTTCATAATTATTCTTATATAATTTTCCATTAGAAGCAGTTATATACACTCCCAAATATTTAACCTTCTTCACTATCTGAAAACCTGTAAGTCTAGCTAAAGTTTCATTATCCTTCTCAGTCATATTCTTAGATAATATCTTAGTCTTATAAACTTTGAAACCAGAAACTTTTCCATATTGGGTTATAAGTTCTAATAAATGAGTAACCGATTGAATCGGTTATTGTAAAGTTAGAACTAGATCATCTGCAAAAGCTCTCAATCTATAATCATTGTTATTTATTTTTATTCCCTTAAGTAGTGTAGACTTTCGAATTTGAATTAACAAAATCTCCATTGTCAGCACAAATAACAGTGGAGATAGTGGACAGCCTTGTCTTGTACCCTTTTCAATATTAAAAGTCTCTGTCAATCCACCATTAATGATAATTTGAGCAGACTGCTGATGATATATAGCTTTGAGAGCATGTAAAAACTTATCTCCAAAATTCATTTTTTCAATTAATAAAAATAAAAATTTCCAATCTAATTGGTGAAAGGCTTTCTCAGCATCCAAAAATATAAAAGCTGCTGGAATCTGATTATTCTTATTCAAATACTCCAGTGTTTCCCAAACTTGACAATTTTAAGGCATGTGGACTTCAACTCCCAGAATTCCACAGTCAGCAATGCTGGCTGTGGAATTCTGGGAGTTGAAGTCCACATGCCTTAAAATTGTCAAGTTTGGGAAACACTGAAATACTCAATTAAATTAATAATTTGTCTTGTATTGTATTTCATATACCTTCCTGTTATAAATCCTGATTGATCACTATGAATTAAATCCTTTAAAACCTGCATTAATCTATTTGCCAGAACTTTAGAAAAAATCATGTAATCTACATTTAAAAGAGATATAGGTCTATAATTTTTAGGTTCGGTAAGATCCTGATCTTCCTTAGGAATTAATGATATAAAAGCCGTCCGCCGAGAAGGAGGGATCGAAGCTCCCAACAATATATCATTAAAAAGTTCCTTTAATGGCTCTATCATTTCTTGACATAACATTTTATAATACTTAGCCGTTAATCCATCTGTACCCGGAGCCTTTCCAATAACTGTTTAATAGCAAAACTAATTTCCTCTGAAGTAATTAGGCAATTCATCACATTTTGTTGTTCAATAGAAAGTTTAGGGAAATGTACTGATTATAAATATTTCTCTACATCTGAATCCTGTATGTTATCACTAGCATATAGTTTTGTATAAAATTCTAAAAAGCACTGTTTAATCAAATCTTGTTGATAAACTTCACTATCTTTATATTTTACTTTCTCTATAATTCTAGCCTTCTGTTTTTTACGTAATTGATAAGCCAACCACCTCCCTGGCTTATTAGCATTACAAAATGTATTATGTTTCATGTAACGCAAGTTAGTTGCAACCTGATCTGCCATTAACATATTAAATTGCTCCCTAAGCAACTTTATAGAAACCTTTAACTTATTATCCATTGGATTTAACACAAGAGCCTTTTCTTTAGATTTAATCTCTTCTTCAATTTCTTTACGTTTTTGAATCCATTTAGACCTAAATGCCTTATTCATATGAATCAAAACCCCCTCATGTAGGCTTTACTAGCATCCCACACCATAGACATTGAAGTACCCTTATTCATATTTAAGACAAAAAATTCCTTCAAATGTTCTCTACATTTCTGCACCAATTCCTCACATGTGAGTAAATTTTCATTCAGTCTCCAAGATCTTCTATTCCCATCTTCCGTAGATAACTCCAACCAAACAGGACTGTGATCAGATAAAGTCCTAGGAAAAATCTTGACTTTTTTAACCCTAGAAAGAAAATCAGTGGAAATCAAGAAATAATCAATCCTGGAGAATGATTGATGTCTGTCGGAATAAAAAATAAAGTCTTTTTCATTTAAATTCCTCTCTCGCCAAATGTCTGTAAATTCCAAGTCATCTTTCATATCAAAAAAAGCTTTTGGCAATCTAGTTTGATTAAAAGTTTTAAAAGAACCCTTTTTGTCTTTCCTTGTATCCAAAACTCCATTCCAATCACCCATCAAGATCACCAATTTATAATCCAACTGATTTATTTTACCATGCAAAAGCTTCTAAAATTGTTTCTGTTGTTGATTTGGAGCATATAAACCAACAATAAGGAGTTTCTTGCCTTGTAATACTAACTCAATAATAACATATCTTCCTTGAGAATCAGAGTCAATTAGTTTAGCAGATAAGTTTTTTTGACATAAATTACAACTCCCCCTTGTTTTCCGTGGGCAGGAGCTATAAAATGCGAACCTAAACGAGAATTTGTCAAATATTTAGAATCTTTCAAAGTTATATGAGTTTCTTGCAAACATATCACATCATTGTTATACTGTTTCAAATACTGAAATACTTTTTTTCTCTTCTGAGGTGAGTTCAATCCATTAACATTCCATGTCAGTAACTTTGACATCTGAAACCGCTTGAAGCCTTTGAAGCATGACTTGTAGATCAACTGTAGATGATCTCTTTGGTCTTGCTCCTCCCACAGGCTCAGTAGCAACAGTTCCTTCTATTTTTTCACTAACCTTTTGCTTCTGTTCTTTTTCCCTGCGTTTATGCGCAGCACGAGTCATCCTTTGTTCTTTTATCTCTAAAACTTGTAAAGCAGGCTCCCCCTGCAACTCACTAGCAGTAGCTCCTCCAGTTGCTTGTTCGTCTCCAGTTCTGCTGGCTTGGGGAGATATGGGCAAACCAGCCTTCAGATCGCTAGAATAAAAATCCTTTGCCTTTAACACTGTATTTAATCTATAACGCGTTCCTAAGTAGTTCACCACTATCCCAGCTGGAATTTCCCATCTGAACTGGATTTGACGACGTTTAAGCTCCTCCGATAAGAAAGTAAATTCTTTTCTTTTTCTTAAAATTTTTGGAGGTATTTCTTTTTAGATTATAACATCTTGATTTGCAATTTGAAATCTCTGTTTATAAAAAGCTTGTATAATTTCATTGCGGATTAATCTTCTGGAAAAATATATGACCACATCTCTTGGTAAATTTCTTTGCCTGGCAATCCATGAATTCACTCTGAAGATTTTTTCAATCCCCTCCCAAATCTCTTCCGGCTTCCATCCCAGATTAAAAGCGATATCTTTAACCACCAGCTCTCTTAAATCCTCTTGTGGGTTTTCTTTTAAAGCCCTAATGTGCAGAGCTAATTCCATATCTCTATACTGTGAAATAAGTAATTCATCTTGAGTCATCTCTATTTTATGCTCAACTTCATCAACTCTACATTCCAATTTCTCTGCATTTTCCATCACATCATCCAATCTGTCATCAATTCTCTCAATATGCACAGCAAACACAATATCTTCCCTCATAATTTTATTCTTCTCCTCCAGTAATTCTGCCATTGCAGCCCTCTCTGAAGCCAATTTAACATCCAAAAGATCTGCCATCTCTTCTTTAATATCTGAAGCAGTTTGTTTTAAAGCATCTTGTAGATCTTTAAATGAAAAGGCAGGTGGAGGGGGAGAAGAAGGGGGCGATTTTGGCTTAGTTTGAGAGACAGTCTGAGGCTGTATCATCGGAGAGGAAATGGAAGCTTTTGGAACCAAGGACACAAATCTTTTTGAAGCCATTTTTAAAACAATATCAGGAAAGTAAAAGTCCACAGTCTATACAATGTAAATTCCAGTCAGTAATAATAGAAAGGAAAAGAAAAAAAAAGAACTCAAAAAATACTATCCCCCCAAAAAAGAGAAGAAAGTTCTTGCCTTTGAGATTAAAAGTTCTTATTAACTTTGTTACAACAAACAGAAAAAGCAGAAAAAGCCGAGCATTGATGGCCCCATTGTTATGGTTAGTCCTTTTGGTGGTATCCACATTCAGTCCCTTTTGAAGTTGTACTGAAGGAAGTGAGGGCCATAAAACCTCTTTGTTCACCCCTTCCCTTTATTGTATGACAGAATCCAGAGAGGGCAGAAATGGGGTTTTCCATAGTCGATAACTAGAGATGAAATATAATTGGATTCTGTCATCCTGCCCCCTTAAAAATAAGATAGATCCACCTGAAAGAAAAACAAAACAGGTATAAAATTTAGTCAGGCTTGTTAGGATACTCTGTGTGAACCTTCTTTAATAGCTTCGGGGCTCTGACATGACGTTTATGGACCCACTCATTTTGTGATGCAGGGAGGTGTTTCCATGCAACTAGGTAATGAGTCGCTCCATGATATCTCCTAGAATCTAGGATTTCCTTTATTTCGAAGTGTTGTTCGCCCTCCACCATGATTGGAGGTGGGGGGGGGATTTTTGGCCGTAACGATGACTGATGCTCTCTTTTCAGCAAGCTGCAAAGAAAAATTGGGTGTATTTGCCTGAGATTTTTGGGTAATTCTAATTCTACTGTTACTGGGTTTATGATTCTTTTAATTGGAAAAGGCCCTATATATTTTGGTCCAAGTTTTTTACAGGGGTGTAGGGACTTTAGGTATTTTGTAGATAAGTACACCATTTATCCTATAATGAATGGTGTAGGCTCAACCCTTTTTTATTGCTTGTGCTTTGTATACCTGCCTAGATTCATCTAGTGCTTTTCTAACTATTGGCCAGGTGTTTTGTTATTGTTCCATCCATTCTTTCAGTGATGGGATCGCCAGTTCGTTTGGGGTTAATTCTGGCATGGGGTTGAAACTTTGACCAGTGGCTATTTGAAAAGGAGTGTAACCTGTGCTGGAATGGACTGCATTATTGTAGGCAACTTCTGCGAAAGGGAGTAGGTCCATCCAATCGGACAGCTGGAAACTAAGAAAGCATCTTAAATATTGCTCAAATACTGAGTTCAATTTTTCAGATTGACCATTCCCTTGTGGATAATGGCTTGATATCAGTCCCTGAGTGGTCCCTAAGAGGGATAAAAATTCCTTCCAAAATGCAGACGTAAATTGCACTCCCCTGTCAGAGATAATGTGTTGGGGTGCCCCATGCAATCTGTAAATATGCTGGATGAAAAGTTTTGCTAAAGCTTTTGCAGTGGGAATCTTTTGGCAAGGGATAAAGTGCACCTGTTTGGAAAACAAGTCCATGACCGTCCAGACAACAGTATTCCCATTGCTTTCTGGTAATTCCACTATAAAATCCATGGCTATTTCCCTCCAGGGGGCTGAGGGACTTGCCACTGTTTGTAACAGTCCGGACAATTTCCCTTGCAACTTCTTTGCAGTTGCACACTTTGGGCAGCTGGCCACGTAACTTTCTATGTCCTTTTTTATGGATGGCCACCAAAATTGCCATTTAATTAGGTGTAATGTCTTTACAAATCCAAAATGCCCTGCTTATTTTGTGTCGTGGCAAAGCTGCATGAATGTGACTCTTTGGGTTGTTGGTATATATAACTTTTCCCCCACCCAAGGCAGCCCGTCTCTCATTGTGCACACATTTTTCTTTTTCTGGAACCATTCATCTGTTTCCAAACTTTTCCGGAATTGAATTCCGGTTTGGCTGCCCCTTGAATCTCACGTCCAATGGCGGGAGTCTTTGAATGGATCGGTGCCTTCATTGTCGGTGGTAGTGTCTTCCATCCAGATTGCCATCTGCGGGTCATGGGGAGTGGGGGCTACTGGATCAGCAGATGTCCCCAGGGCTGCAGGTTCCACTTCCCCCTCGATGTCTCTCCCTTTGCTGCTCCAGAAGCTGGGGCGGCTGTAGGGCTCAGAATTCTCCTCTCCTAGGGAGCTGAGGGTCCTCTTCAACAGATCAATAGCTTTCTCTAGGATCCAGCCCGAGTACGGTGCCCAGTTCCCTTCCTCTTCACTTGCGTGCAGGGATTTCTCCATCTCCTGCTTCCATTCTGATTGGTTGGCCCCCTGTCTCAGGGTCACCTTTCTTGATTTCCCATTCACCTTTCTTTCCAATGCCCATTGACCACCAAGGTTTGTGGTCCCATGTCTCCACCACCTCTTCTCCTGAGGAATCTGACCTCTCAGATCCCAACATCTGGCAGGGTTTCAGTTGGGGCAGCGGCTCCCTTCCCAGGGAGTTTTCTCCCTTCCCTGCTCCGTCGTCTGACATGGTAATTTTTGCAAAGTCCCCCTGCAAGGTTCTCCCTTCCAGGTAGACTAATTCTGCAAGTCCTGTCTAATGTAAGGACCCACTCCACTTTGCATCTTAAGAAGACAGAACTTTTGGAATATTTCTTCCAACAGGCATCTTTATTAAGAGAAAATGGTTGCAGGCATTCTAGACAGGACTTGGGGGCCAAACTCTATGGTTCAAGGTTTTAAGGGGTTCCCAGCAACCCCACCCCACCCCACCATCCTTCCAGTGACGATCCCAGGCGTTACATTTCCACCTCTTTTCCTCACTGCCTCAGAAGGGAGACTTCAGAGAGGAGCAGATAAAAGCTGATGGTCCCATTTTTATGGTTAGTCCTTTTGGTGGTATCCACATTCAGTCCCTTTTGAAGTTGTACCGAAGGAAGTGAGAGCCATAAAACCCCTTTGTTCACCCCCCTTCCCCTTCATCATATGACAGAATCCAGAGAGGGCAGAAATGGGGTTTTCCATAATCAATAACTAGAGATAAAATATAATTGGATTCTGATACTTTCCCAAATCTGAATTCATAACACAACCCAAAGCAAGGTTAATTGGGGGGGAGGGGAATTACTTGGTCTTACTGCATGGTCTTAGATTGGTGGGAATTAGTGCTTTGCACTTTCACCCCCATGATCTGTCAGGACATTCAAAATAAATTTATTTTATATTTAGAACATCTCTTTACTTGCCCATCTTTTAACTAATTTGGGTGGCTCCCAATCAAAATACAGTAGTGGCCAAAATTGTGGAAACCTTTTGGGAAAAGTGTATTTTTGAGGTTTGATGGCTAATAACACCACTTTTTTTATGTAGTACCATAAAATTATAAATCAATGGAAAGATAATTTAATCAAGAATGTAATGCAACATGGTTTGTTCAATTATCTGTACTGTATTCTATGAAAAGTTATAGCCAAATAACCGGAAAAAGGAAGCACAACTTGCTTAGGTTGATATCAGGTAGTTTTCCTTCATCTGATTGTAGCCAATGACCATGAGTATTTAGAGAGCCAATCAGGTGTCATCTTGTTTGGCAATGAGCCAATCAGATCAGTAGGATTCAGTTATTGATGTCATGTATTGAAGCTGAGAGGAGGACATTGTCAGTGTGTTATGTGATCACTATCAAGTTGATTGGGGTTTTTTGTGTTCTTTCATTTAGTGAGCTTGTAAAACATAATAAAATTAAAGTAATAGTACAAACAGTTGACTGGTTGCCCAGAAAGTGATGTAAAATTGTATTATTAAGTGAACAAGGCTACAGTTATAAAGAAATTAGAAGAAAAATTGGTGGAAACTTAACCAAAGGTGGCATTTCTACTGTACACTTTTCCCAAAAGGTTTCCACAATTTTGGTCACTACTGTAATGACAGGTAGTCCTTGACTTAACTACCAGTCATTCAGCAACCATTCAAATTATGACTCCCCCCACCCCCAAGATATATCTCGGCAGCCAGCCTGTATTTACAGCCATTTGCTGTGCCCTGTGATCAGATGACCACAATTTACAACTTTCTTCCAGAAATCAGTGTTTACATCCAGTTTCAGGAAACAATATGCCTGGCATTTGTTTAATGACCATAGCAGAAGCAACTTGTGGCATAAGTTTGGTTTAAACTTTACCACCTAAAGGAATACGAGTCTTATTGGTTACTTTCAATAGTAACAACTATTACTTTCCAATAGTTGTAATATCTCTGTTTTTACCTCTGTGAAATGTTTTGTTTAACAAGTTCAGATGGAGCCAATGAAGGACATCTTTTTATATGGGGACATACCATGTTGTCTACTATATGTTCAAGTGAATGTGTTAGAATCGTCACAAGAACATCTATGACCTCACAGTTTAAATTCTGAAAGAGAGTTGGAACATATACCTGAGAAATAGCATGGTTAGCAGCACCACAACTTTTGAACAAACCTGGAGCTATTAAGAAATGTATGAGAACCAACTCTTTGTAATAGTAACAAGCGTTTTAAGGATGTAAAACTGAAGGTAAGACAAACTTAAGTTTGTACAGCTTTGGATGGAGTGTCAAGTTAATTGTGCTACAAGCTTAGAAATAGAAACATTAACTTGTGTTCATTTTTTCCATATATTCAGGCCATTTCAACAGTCTTTTCACCTCTTCATCAACCATAGTCGCAACATGTCTCTGACACATGGGCATGATGAGATATGGTAGACATGGAATGGACACAAGGCAGATAAGATCCACAAGGATGTCTTACAGCAGACAATACTTTATCATTCCCAATACCTTAAAAACAGCAGCAAAGGAAGCACTTCTCCATCTGGCCCAAATGATTTTGGTGAAATTAAGAAAGGGGAAGGGGAAAAAATGGCCAGGTAGAGGCACATATGGAATGACGGTGGCCCCTGTTCAACCAATTCCTGAATTCATAATATTTCATTTTTTACAACCACAAACAGATAGATCTCAACATTCTAGTAAAGGATGGAATAAACATACATAAGCAGGAATTATGCCCACAACTAGTATAGTACTAGTATAGTACTAGTTGTGGCATAATTATAGTACACATAATCATAGCCCTATTAGATTACTGAAGTACCAGAACTACCTGGGAGAACTGATAGTAAGTGCAAGTAACTGATAGTAAGTGCAACTCTCCTGGGGAGAGAAGTTGCTTTATTCTGAAGAAGCTTCTCAGGAGAAATGTGTAAAAACTACAATAGAATAGTCACTGAAAAAGATCAAGTCATTGCATAAACCTACTATCTGAATTTTCATTACATAATCTATTAAGTCAAATCTGATTGTAAACTTTTGTAGTCTATTGTTTGGCAGATAGTTGCTAAGTAATACCAGCAGCAATCTCCTATGAGCAGTTTACAACACACACACCCATTCTAAATATCAAATTTTTGTGGGTTGTTTCCCCCATAAGCTTTGATCCCCATATGGAGATTTTATGCACCTGACCATTTGTAAGAGCAAAATTCTGTTTCTACTTTGCAGAAACAAGCCACAAAAGAACAGGTCATTCTTGAATCATGGACTACTGATACCTTCAAGCAAAACCAATGTAGAATAACCTAATAAGCTCTTCTGTGCTCCAATTAGCAAACCCTGAGAAATGCAACCAAATGCAAACCTTTCTTTAAGGTCTGAAAATGGAAACAGACGTAATTCCAGAAATGGTAGTAGAAGCCATACAAGTAGCTGGCAATGTAGATCAGGTTCCAGAGGTAGCTTTGGAAGAAGCAAAAGCTGAGGCAGAAGATCATTCTGGACAGACCCAAACCTATCTCCTTTACATTGGAAACTTAAACCCCAAGTATTCCAGTGAAGATCTTTGCAGCATGTTGAAGGACATCCTCAGCATGGCAAGTGTCACCCTCCAAAGATACGATATTGAAGTGATCAAGAAACGTAAGCAGGCCTATGCTTTTGTTCAGGTGGCCACAGAAATCAGCCTGGAGCAGGTTCTCAAACAACTGCTGCTTGCTTCAGAGGCAGAACACAGCCACTCCAAAGAGCTTGTGCAGAAGGGGAAAAATCTTGTTGTGGGACAAGGCAAAAAGGCTGCATCTGCTACCAAAAATAGCAAAGAGGTAAGGTGGCAGAAAACTAACTCCTCCGATACACTAGGAATTGCACACTCAGGGGAAAAAGCTGGAAAGAGGTTATATGCTAAAGTCTTGAGAATATACAAGAGCTTCTATGCAACACTGAGAAGAAATCAAGAATCACACAAGCTGCACTAGCTAGAGCAGCGGTTCTCAACCTGTGGGTCGCGACCCCATTTGGGGTCGAACGACCATTTCACGGGGGTCGCCAAACAACGCAGTTCGCCATTTTTTCCCCCTTTTCCTTAGCTGTGCTACTCCCTTTTATTCTATTGGCTTTTGAAAGCCAATAGAATAGACTCTCTTGAATAGAGTCTAATTCTATTGGCTTTCAAAAGCCAATAGGAATTGTCCAGGCTGTCTCTGCCCTGCTGAGCCCGCCAAAAGCCCCAGTCTGCAAACGGTGCTGCAAGTTGTCTGCAGTGAAGGCGAGCTGTCTGGAAGTTTCCACCCCTCCCTGCTGAGCAACTACTAAAAATGTAAGTAAAAGAGGGCCAGGGGTGGAAGGTGGGAGGCCGGCAGGCACAGGAAGGGTTGCTGGCGTGCGTGGGGCCCGGCGGGTGCCTTACTTCCCTTGGGCTGGGCCAGCTGATGGCCTAGCTGGTGGTCACCCTGCGCCATCGCTGCCCCTTGCCAGCTACGCTTCGGCCGGCGCAGGGGGCGGCACCACGCGTGTGCAGCGCTCCCGGGCAGGGAAAGTCCTCGACTTACGACAGGATGGGTAGTCCTCGACTTACAACCGGTTGGGTAGTCCTCGACTTACGACCGGTTGAGGTCGCGGCATTAAAAAGGTTGAGAACCACTGAGCTAGAGCATTCTTGTATTTAAAATATCTGTACAAACTTCCATTTAAAATCAACAATGAAAGGTATTTAATATCAGGTTGCATTCTTTTTATATATATATATTTTAACCACACTTTAATATCCTAACATCAGGTGCTTTATGCAACAGTTCTTGCTACTGCTATATGACCTTACCATCTCAAGAAGAGATTTTCTGTAAACCCTTATCACATTTTCAAAAGCCTTTTAGAAATCCATTTGCTCCCCATATTTCATTCCCTGTGAACTTTCTTGGTCTTGTGGTGACCCCTTCCTGCAGAAACCCCAGCAATAAAGGAATGACCCTGGGACTGCTTCTCTAGTGAAGAAGGAAAGTCCACTGGTGAACAGCTGCTTAGTTCTCAATATCCTCCCCTTAACCAAGCAAACTAGGAGAAACATACACACACACATGTGCAGGAAGCAAGGTGCATGAAATGTATGCATTTTGCTTTTTTCCTCTCCTTTGCAAGGAAATAAATAAAATAAATATTTTCCTTGCACCAGAATAGCAAGGAGTAACTTGGCTATTCTAATAAGAGATTTATTCCTTGCCACACAAAGCCCTAAATCTTTTCTCTCAGCAAGATGATAGCACCAAATCTAATTCACCATGACATAACAGAGGCCACCTTCATGTATTACAAAATATTTCTAGCACATCTAGATTTTTCTCCACATTCCTTTAAAATAGTATTAAAACAGAAGAGTCTAATTGTGTATCCACAATGCTCTAAAATAAGCATGTCGCAGTAAATCTAGACATTGTTTTGAGCCAATACTGTGAACTATCAACTAGAATATCTATATGCAGACAGCACATTATGTAACCATTGTTTTTTGTTAAAATCCCAAAATGATTTGGGATTTAGCATGTTGTCTGGACCCAGCTAACTTCTCTCGGTCTAACACAATTCTGTATTTCCTTAAACAAGGTTTAATTTGCAGCAGACAGGGTAAACTCAGCTTTTAAGTGTTACTTCAAATGGATTTAACACAGAACAGACTTGTTCTTGGGAGACGTTTGTTCCATTTGGCTAAGTAACTCCCAAGTTATTGCAATAAGCTTCAAAACACTTTGATGCCAACAGACAATAAGAAATTTAGGCAAATATGGTCATGATTATAATTTCAAACTGACTGATTTTATATAGGCCTCACCCTCAGTGTGGTACATCAATAACTATCTAAATGTATTGGATTGCCATAATTGCTAAACCATACAGCTCTAGGGAACTTACAGTTTTGGAGGGGGGAAACACCTATTAGCCACAAAGCTTGGGGAAATATATCCATAGCATACTAGGATAAAAGGCCAATTACAATTCTTCCACAGAGATCCAAAGTATCCTATGTGTTATACATATTAACAATTGGCTGTTCTAAATTTTCAAAGGAGACAAACTCAGTACTCTTCCCTAGTTTCAGAGTTTTCAGCAATGATAGCTATTCAGTGTCTATGGAGATTCTCAGTCATCCAGTCATGGTTGTCCTAAAGGTGCTTTTTCAAAAGGCAACTGGACATTGTTTTTCCTTGAAAATGTTTCACTTCTCATCCAAGAAGCTTCTTCAGTTCATGAAGAAAAAACAAAGTTCAGTTGTCTTTTGTAAAAGCACCTTTGGGTCAGCCATTCAGCTTTTAAAATTCAAAAACCATCAGAGCCACTGCTTAAGCTCGTCCCCATTTTAACACCAATGTTTGTATATAAAGCAGAACAGGAAATATTGGATCTATACAGGTATGTAATTTTTATCACAATTACTCAACCAAAACAGGAACCTACATTCTTGCAAAGGCACAAGTCCTTTTATTGGTGACATTTGATTATACGCTTGAATTTTACTCATCATGCCTACAGAGTGATTCCATGGGAAGCAGATCAGATGTTCTTCTAGGAGGACCATCAGGACTTGAGAGAAGGAAGCAACTGCCCAATGACAACAGAACTAATCCCATCAGAAAAAGCGTTCGTTACCCTTGGAGGCTGGTCGACTGGCCAGTGACATTTCTGAACAGCACCCGCTCAGACAGTGCCATTGTTCATAAGGAGATTGTTGGTAGAGAATGCCTATTCTATGGAGCTTTCATAGGGGAAGAGACACGGAATGTGGAATTCAAACAAGGAAGTGGTGAATACCTGACAACAACATTAAAGCATCATTTGCGGAAGTACATGTGTGCCTTTCTCAACAGTGAAGGGGGCAGTCTTTTTGTGGGGGTTGAGGACAATGGTTTGGTCCGCGGCGTCAAATGCGACCACAAAGAAGAAGACAGAATTCGCCTGCTCACAGATTCTCTTTTAAAAACCTTCAAGCCACAGGTTTTCCCAACAGCCTACACATTGAGTTTCATCCCAGTTATCAAAGCAGAAGGCACGGGCATCTTTCTGAAAGTCATCCGGCTGAGCGTTCATCCTCCCAAGCCACACGCAGAACCTCTCCTTTACGAAACAGATCAGGGGGAGGTGTACCTGAGGCGAGATGGCAGCATACAAGGACCCCTCCCTGGAAGCGCTATCCAAGAGTGGTGCCGGCAGGTAATATTCAGATTTTGCATATCTTATAAAAAGCACTTGGGGCCATACAAACAAAATTCTAGCGGTCTCACAAAGAAGTAAGTTTGAAAGTGCCGGTCTGATAGAGATGGCTTCTGGTTCTCCACCATACAAAATTAGGGTGATGGTGATGGTGGAAGAGGAGGATTGTATCAAAACTGATGCTTTTCCTCAGGAACAAATACTTTCTTCATTGAAAAGCAAGTTCAAAGGTCCCAAAGGCCACTTGGGAGAAAGCAAGTTTTACCTTGCTGCTACATCCTTTCAAATTAAAATTGTGGACAAAGGACAATTTAGTCATTGATCACTGTTGTCTAAGTCTTCTCTCTAGCAACCCAACAATGATCATTAAAATATCCAAGGCAATTTTGGCAATTTCTGCTGTGGTACTGTGCTTTTAAATAAAAGGAAACCTGCAGAATAAAGATTGTGTTCCAAAATAATTAAGACATTGCTCCTGCTAGGCTCACACCAGAACAAGGGCAAGTCAGACCATCTCTTTACCTTTTAGAGACTGTCTGGCTTTCCTTATGCCATCACTAGAATCCAGCTTACAAAACAAGGTGGTCACTGAGCCACCACTATTATTGGGAAAGGAATGACCATAACTTTGTAAATTTCCCAGAAATGGACACAGGAAATCAAGAAGCTGGAAGTGAAAATAGACGACTTGTTGAAGGAGAAAGAAAATCTACAACAGCAGGTACATTCACAGAATAACACGAAATGCTGCATCATCTTGTAACATTAAGCCATGTCACCCATCATCAGCTGGAAGACAGCTACATACCTGAGTAAAGAAAACGTGGCCCAGTTAAAAGTTTGGATCTACCTATGGTCATCTTGTACCAAGAGTATGGTGGCTATTATTAGGCTCTGCTTAGCCCCTTTCCAATACCTGTAGAGTATCCTATTGCAACCAATATTGGAGAAAGCAATTTTTTCCTCTTCTTTGTATGTGTGTGTTATCCGGTTGATGAAAGTGATGGAAATCCCACTCCTTTTGTACATGCACTGTTGTGCATCAATATATTTCATGCTATGGGTATTTAAAGGGGAAAAACCACATTGTTTGCAACTACATTAACAGGTCAATTTCCCCATCATCCCTCTTCTCTAACCTGCCCCGTCCTCTGCCTATTTTCACTCTGTGGATATTACTGCCGTGGATCATTCTCTCCTTAGAAACAAAAACAGGGAGTTACTGCTGGGATTTTAGGGATGTTCAAGCAGGTTAAAAGTCTAAACTTGGCTTATGACTAATATTCTTTAACAGTTATCCACCAGCATTTATATGGGTGGATGTTTAAGATTATAAAATAATAGCAACCTCTTTTCCATATGTTAATGAACAGCAGACAAGTTAATTCCTTGAGTAAACATTAGGCAATGGTCCTGGGAAGTTTTCAGTTGGTCCTTAGTGTGATTTGGGGACAGTGGAGTTGGGATGGTGCTGTTTCTCCTATCATTTTCTAGTATTCCAGGTATCTCAGCAATAATCAAGAGGGAGGGAGGGAGGAAAATGTAATTTCAAAAGAAATTCCACTTTTTAACTCAGAGAAATGGGGAGTACATGGGGAAAAAAAGAGTTTTCAAGTTATATAAACAGACAGAACAGACCAATTGTTTTCCCAATGTTTTAATGAACTGAAAAGGATCTGTACATCCAATATGTTTGCAGTAACAGTTTCACCTATCTTGCTGGAAACGCAGTTTATGTAATCTGCACTGGGAAAAGATCATAAACCATGTTTTTCTGCAGTCTCCACATCTGTAAGCTCATCCTTTCTCTCTTCTAAAACTGCATCTGTATGTCGTTGGACACATCCTTCCCCTTGTACAAACCGGTGCCTGGGACAGCCCATATGCCAACATGAGCTCTTTGTTCCAGATAGGGTGGTCTTTCTTCGAAAAATAAGACCCTCAGTGCTTCTTTCCAGTCCAAGGCAACGCTCTCAATGAGGTGCAAAAGGCTACTTCTGAAAAGCCACTTTCTCACACATGCGTCCCCCTTGATGCAAGGAATTGGATCAGTTCAGGAAGCTGAACTAAATAAAGCCATGCCCTCTCCAATGAATGTGTAAAATGGTAGGGGGGGAGGGGGGGAATTGACACACTCACATTTTTGAAACACCTTTGAATGTGGCCAGACTTGCTTAGCATCAGAGTACACTGTATCTCGTGAACAGGAAAATTATACTCTTGAGAAAAGTTAAGCAATGTTAGGTGTAGCACCAGTTTATTTTAGAATACTTTAGAAGATTATAATTGCCTGCTTTGTACAACTTTCCACTGAGATGCTAACCATATAATGTAGACCTCCGACAATGGAGATGAACCAAAATCCTGAACAAAGACTCTGCACAGCATCTTCTGTGAGCATTTAAAATGGCCTGTTAAACCTCCTTACATATCCAAAATGTCTCTTCCCTCCCTCAGCTTCTGTACTTCAGGTTTGTAAGCTCACAGTTGAGCACAAGTAGGCATCAATGCCAGTTTCTTGGAATAATTTCTTTAAAAAAATAAAATCAAACAAAAAAAATGATGTCTCCAAAAAATAAAAATAATTATAATAACATGATCTACAAAATCCCCGGGATGTATGATGTCCAATGAAGAATTTCCAAACACCTGGATGGTGGATAGGTTGGGATTGAGAGAGAGAAAAAGAGGAAGATCAGAAATATTTATATCAAATTTATGGGTATTTTAAAAATACTTAACCTGGTCATTTTGACTACCATCATCCCCTGCTCCCAAGAAATGTGATACAAGCAAACAGGGAAAGAAATAATGTTAAAAACCCAGAAAATGGAAAATAGATTTTACCAGCAGTTTACTCATGATTCACAGCAGTAAATTTCAGTTCTGTGATCTCAGAATCAGGGGAACTACTTCCACTTCTGTCACTATAGGTGTCCCTGTAAAATTCAGGCTGTTAGAAAAATAACAGGATTTCTCTTACATACATAATAAACTCTGTTCTTGGTCTACTGGTTCAGCTAGAATTTCTGGCTGCTGAGGCAAGAGAAATCGAGATAAAGAACATACTCTGATCTACTGCAAACACTGGAGATCTTAACATATATATATATATATATATATATATATATATATATATATATATATATATATATATATATATAAAGATAGATAGATAGATATAAATTTATATAGTGGGGACCCATTCTTGTTTTTTAACATAATGATCTGTTACAGGAGGACTCAGCATTAGATGGGCTACAAATGTCTTGAAAGCTTTTGCTGCTGGGCTAATTTCAAGCATAACTCAGAACCAATCTTTTTCTTTAAAAACGCAAATACATGAAAGCAAGAGAAATATTTATCTGATTAGATGCAGAAAATACTTGGAATTCACACATCAACATAAAAAGCAGAAAACTAAATTGTAAATTAGAATTCATATTTTGCAGAAAGCGCAAAGTCTTACATGATAATGTACATGTTCATGTGTGTATGGGGAGAGGGGGAGGGGGGGAAGGAGGGAGGGAGAGGGAGAGAGAGAGAGAGAGAGAGAGAGAGAGAGAGAGAGAGAGAGAGAGAGAGAGAGAGAGAGAGAGAGAGAGAGAGCGCACATATGGATACTGATAAAATTCAATGGTGCTCTTTTTACAGCCACAGCCACACTCCATGTACAGTATTAGCACTAGGAGCTTAGTAAAGCAGGGCAAACTAAAGGTAGTATTTGAGAAGTTTTCTTCCTCCTTTAACCTTTCTAACATAATTTGGCAAAGAAGCTGTTTCTGGTTTGTCATCTTTTGCCAAATTTACAGAACCAGAACTGACTTGGGGACAGGCAGAGATCAAAGTTTTTGCTTAATGGCAATGAGAAAAAAAGTAGAGGGATAATCAAACAACTGACCTTCCTTTAACCATGAACCAGAGCCCCAAATCTTCCCAAAAATATATCATCACTATACTATCATTGATGACCATCGAAAAAGCCTAATTTATCTTTCACACAGAATCAAAACAGAAGCACGGTCAGAGCATAGAGGCCCTTATACTGTACTTTCCCCCACAATGCATTATTAATATTTTAGTCCAGGTGCAAGATACATCATGAAGGCTACGGTGCCAAATGGATGTAAACCTGAGCTCACACAGTCCCAAATCTCTAAGTCACTTCAAGTATTAAGGTACACGGCAGGCTGGACTTACCTAGGGGAGAGTCTGCAACCTTTCTGGAGATAATGCGAGAGTTTTCCTGCAGAAGCCAGGAGGAGGCCGAAGTAAGGAGGAGAAGGTTTTATGGGTCTGGATAGGAATTCTGGGTGATACTGAACCCCCACAAAAAAAGGATGCTCTGGAGGAGAAAGTAAGGCATGCTTTATTAGCTTAATTGCCACAACTATTCATAAGGCTACATGAGTATCCTATAAAAAGCTACAGGTGCATAGACATGGAAGAGAATATTTGTACTCAGGGTTGAACTGGGGGAACCTTGGTGCTCTCTGAGCTTGGTTGTTTTTGTTTTGCAGATGTTTTATTACCAAACTAGGTAAATCACTGATGTTATCTAGTTTGGTAATGAAATATCTGCAAGAAAACCAAGCTCAGAAAGCACCAAGGACCTCTCGTTAGCCATCACTGATATTTGTTTTTCAAAGAACCGATGTAGCAATTCTCACTTTTTTTCTATCCAAGGAAGATCACTCCCACAAATCTTAAAACTTTTCCTCAATTAACAATAGCAACCTTCTGGTGACAGATCAATGCTCACCTTCCAACTCAACCACTTCCATTCGCTCTCCTTCCACATCCTGGCCCACAAATTTCATACCTTTCTCTTCAAATGAGTTTTTCAGTTCTGGATTTACCTATGAACAGACAATTACATCAGGTGATTTTTTTTTTTAAACTGTGGACTTTGGAGAAAAAGGGTCCTCCCCCCACCTGTCTCTATTACAAGTAGCCATACCTCAAATCTGTGCCTGTGCCTTTCTTCCAAGTAGTCACCATCTCCATACAGTTTTCCTATGGGTGGAGAAAATATATGGCCATTTGCTTATTTGAAATTAGCATACTTGTTAACACCCTACCTTCCCCTTGCCCTTTCCTGGGATGATGTTGATTTTTGTCCTCTTATAGAAAACTTTATCAGAAAGCAGTTCCTGTGCTCCCCAACTTGCCACCAAAGAAAGAATCCATGAGCAATGTATCATAGGGCAAAATGTTTTGAACCAAGATGCCTCAAATAAACTAGTTTACAGAATGCATCCAAAATCTGGGACCCATGACTCCCATAGAATTGAAATTTGACCAAGTTTATAAAACATTTTGCGACCTAAACATTATCATCAATCATGTTATGACATAATACCCAATGTCATAAAACTTTTCCTGTAGTCAACTGATGTTTGACTGTGCTACACAGTTCAACATGGACTCCTTTCAAGATAGACAGATCTCTGAATATTTCCCTGAATTTTACAGAACTTTTCAAGTGCACTAGAAGCTCTGTAAGGAAGTATCTCTGAAACAATGACACAAGAAGTCATGGGGGGTCTAGTACAGGGGTGCTTGACCTTGGCAACTTTAAGACTTATGGACTTCCACTTCCAGAAGAGGAATTCTAGGAGTGGAAGTCCACAAGTCTTAAAGTTGCCAAGGTTGGAGACCCCTGGTCTAGTAAATATCTAAGTTTATAATACAAAGTTTGAGATATTTTTTTTTCTTTATAGAGCTACTACCAATGTCATCATGTTGTCCCAAATGTTTTAGGAAAGTGGGATGGCCATTAGCTATAATTTCCAGTACTTTAAGGCAGCCTGGGTATTTGTATAATTAAAATACAATCAGGAAAGGAAAGGGAAAACAAAACAAAACAAAACAAAACAAAAGGAAGGCCAAGAAAAGCATACTCATGACTGAGTTCTTGGTTTGGAAGATGGTTCTCCTCTTGCCCAGCCTCATGGTCCCACCCATCTGACCTGGATTGTGTTCCGGCATGTCAATTACCTGAGAAGTTAAAGAGTATGATGTGATGGAGAAGAAGTTAAGGCAACTAAGAATATTAAGCAAGGATGTAGGGAAAACAAAATTTGTAAGCTGGGTTTAGTAGCACCTACAAACAAAACTGATAGTTTCTGGCATTGGTAATTCATCAGAAGGGCTTAGCCCCCCATTCTGACTGCTAATACAGTATTTTTTTTTATGTCTAGCATGGGTTTTAGAATATATTCACGGAGCTCATAATGTGTAAAATATGTGTATGCAATATACATACATATACAAACATGCAAAAGTTTACTTTTACAGTATCTGAAGCACTCTTGAATAGAAAGTCAAGTAAAAACGTAAGAACACTCATTCTTTTTGGTCAAATTGAGAGATTCACTGGCTCCAAATTAAATAAAATAAAATGTGGACTTTCATATCTACAAAACAAATGGCAGAACAACTCATTGAGAAACATCTACCTTCAAATATCAGACAACATTTTAACAGAAGTTCATTAGTCATAGCACTATGGAGAAGTCTAATTTATTCTCATCATGATTCATTCTAATTAGACCATTTTTTATATTTCCTTTCAAAATAATTGTTGTGAGCAGGAAGGGAGGGAGGGAGGGAAGAAATGTTCTGGTATACATGAAAAGAAACCACAATGGATTAAAAAGTATCATCACACTCACCACTGGATATGTAGTTTTGGGGTCAAATTCTGTAGAGTTGGCATCTGTGGATGACAGGCTTTGATCACAGAACGCCAAGGATCTTAAGAAAAAAATCTGCATTTCCAGTAGAAAGCAGCTTTTCCATTAATTAGCATTAATGACAATGTAACCCAAGACTTGAAGCAAATGCTCCAACATAACATGGTCAATGTAATCCTATCCAAATCATTAACATACCATGTTGTATATTTTAATAATCCACTACTTAAGTTGAATGTTGTAAATAGCTGCTTTCTTATTAAGATCTCTACACTTAGGCTAGTAAATAAAGCAATAAAAACATGGAGATTTATATTTTGTATTGCGAACAATTTAGAGAACTGAAAGCTCATTCCTTTATAAACTCTTGTAAAAACTGGGTAAAGTGAAATAGATACAATTATTTTACGAGTATAAAAAGCTTTATTGAGATTTAAATGTTCCCAGTATATTGCTACCCTACAGCAATTATATTGCAAGTAATTTTAAGGATTAGCATTCTTAGGCCTAAATGTTTATTTTCCTACATCTTTACCTTGCCAGCCAAGGACATTTCGGGCAAATTCCACAACGGCCAACTGCATTCCCAAACAGACTCCTGCAGAAAACAGAGCAAAGAGATATATTAAAAAATATGCATTAGTATTCTCAAATACCCAACAGAATTCCCATTATCCTCCTCTATTAGACGCTACATAAGCAGCTGAAGATCAGGTACAGGAGGACCACGGGGATAATTTATGGCCTTACAATTATGCATCAGTCTGGCCACACATAATTTTAAAGACATCAGGTACAGGTTTCTTGGGATAATACTGGACAATATTTCTTTAACTTATCATT